TCATGCAGTTAATGACCTGAGTAATTGAAGTCCGGTGCAAAAACGCATGATCGCACGGGCCCGTCCTGTGCGTTCCAGCCTGGGTTATATTAAGCAAATGGAGAAGAAATTTGGCACCGTTTCTGCTTCTCACCCGAATTCATTTGTGCGCACGAATTAAATGAATTTGCGTGTTAAAGATGAGTGAAATAGCTGGAAGATTAATATGTATACTAAAGATAATGTGCAGGTCAGGAACTGAAATGCATTCGGGAGTTAGGAGGGGAATTTTAACCATCTCATAACTGAGGATGACACTGCTTGCACAGGACAAAGCAACTGTTGAGATTGCAATTGAGAATGTGAAATTGGCCCAACTCACTTTTAATAAATCGGTAGAAGAAGCGATAGCAAACACAACTTTAAAAGTATAGGTCATGGGAGAAGAATAATAAATCTAAAAGAAAATGTTTAATATACAATTAAACACCTTCTTTGAGTTGTACACATTCCTATTCGGCACCACATTAAGAAATGATTTGGATCTCCACTGTAAATATAGGCCCAGCATCAAAAAATTGTTTGTTTTTGTAATTCTTACTGTTTTCGTATCGAAGTTTTCAGTTACGAATTACGTGACACCACCAGCGGTACCCGGTCTTCCGCAGTATACAGATGAATGCGGCGATACGAGCCCGTGCAAGGAGAACGAACAATGCGTTACTTCGCTTTCGGGGCGACGAGTTTGCCAGTGTCTGTAAGTTGTCTCATTTTTTGAAAACCACTTTTTCAGCGCTTCCTTTTTTTCATCTTTGAAACAGAAAACAGTCACTCGGATGGCTCTGCGGAGAGGTAGCGAATGTATGCGAATAGGCGATAGATACTAACTGGAGATTTGCAGCCTGAAATTGAAGGGCCTCGCACAGTTACGTCTGGAATATGGAAGCATCCCAAGCTAACATGGGCTACTCAAACTGATGCCTGATGCCTTGGCATTTATGTTATCAATTGCTTTCATATATTTTAATTTGGCTGCTTAAGAATTTGTGTAGTTCCTCGACTTGGCTATTTATATGAATTAATATCTGCTTCACCGTTTCTCCTCGTCCATCTCCCCTTCCCTCTTATTTCCTTCCTTTCCCTCAGTTCATCTCATTTTTATGCGTTTTTTGCAGCAATGCAATGCGAAAAACGCATATTGACGAGAGGTTGTCT